GCTGGGACTGGAAGACAGGAGATGGATCATTCAATTCATTGCTTATAAGTTCATTCCCTCTGAAGCAATTGTTGGAAGACAGGACACTGACTTAGGTGGACTGTTGGTCAGACTCACTATGGCCACCCTAGACCAAACAATAGCCTGGTGATTAGGCACTCACTTGGGCAGGAGGAGTCTAGATATGACCTGAAACAACATTGTTCAAATTTCTTTGATTTGCCAAAAAATCCAGAAAATGTTTTGGTTCAACCTGAAACATTTTTTTTAATTATTTTGTTTTACTGGGGAAAGGGGCAGGAGGCTTTTCATAGTTATTTGATTTCTGTGGGAGCTAGGCACCACACTAGGTGGTGCATCTTTAGGTGCCTAAACACCTGTATATATTTGCCTCTAAGAGACTGAGATGTCTAGGTCCGATTTTCAAAAGTGACTTGATCTCTTAGGGGCTTAAATATCACTGAGAGTCAATGGGCTTAGCAATGCTAAGCCAAGTAACTCTAAATACCTCTAAAAATCTGGACTTCAGACAAGAAGTGACAAAAGTCATGAATCATGATAGCAAGCTTCACCTCCAGGAGGAAAGATCCCAGTCAGAGGCAGATGGGGGGAAGCAGTTCTGATCACTTTTACTTTTTGTTTTATCTAGTAGCAATAGGAAATTAATCAGACGGAGGTTTGGTTATGGCTGAGCACCCCCTGTTAGGGAAACTGGAATAAGAAATGTTAAATGAAAAAGTTTCCAGGACATAAGTTATTCTGGCTTTCTGTGAGAAGAAAGTGGAAACTTAATCTAACATGCTGAGTGGACTCAAGTTCTGGATGCTAATGTGTGATAACCAGAAAGTGAAACTGATTCGTAACAAACTGTAAACAAATGTGATATTGACTTCTATTTTCATCATCTGTACAGAGTGAGAGGGAAAAAAAGCTAACAAAAAGCAAAAATGGTGGGAAAGCATTTAAATTCTAAAACTTCTTTCCATTTGTATCATCCACAGTGTTATTAACAAGGCAAGATTATTTTATTCTATTTATTTATTTATTTTGTAAAATATATGGGGCTTGATTTCAGAGGTGCCAAGCACAGTCATTTAAGACTGATTAGAAAGGGAGCTTCAGATGATCAGTACCTCTGAAATTCATCACTGTGAATTTTAACCTGATAATGGTCCATAATTTATTATTAATAAGGGCATTTTAGATACTTTATAAGCAGTAAAAATTGGGCCTGTTGTTGCTTGATATCACACCTTCCCTTCTGGAGTAAGATTGTGGTGAGACTACTGTCACAATATTTAGCTGCCTCTGATTTCCTTAATTCTTGTCTTACTGGATGTAGACCTGGCTTTGGCATTGAAACTACATTGGCTGTGTTGGTTGATGATCAGGCAATGTAGCAGAATTATGTGTTCTTGCTGGTATTATTAGTTCTGTCCCCTGCCTTTGATCACAAAATGACATTGACTTGTCTACAGGCCCTGGCAGGAGTGGACAGAGCTGCTTTTTGTTGGTGTTGTTCTTTTCTCTTGAAGAGATCTCACAGGTAGCTGTTCCTCTTTCCATACAGCTCTCACATGTCAGGGGCATCATTCTGTCACCTCTCCTGTGCGATGTGTTTATGGGGCTGTTACGAGGATTAATAAGGGGACACGGAGTCTAGTGATTTTAGTATGCTGATGGCACCCAGCTTTGTGTCTCTCATATAACTCACATAGTTTCATTCAATGCCTCAGTCAGCGTCTAGTTGTGGTATGGAGCTGGCTCAAGCTCAAACCAGCAATACTGAGGCTAGGTCTATACTACTCGCCTGAATCGGCCCCGTCGGGACGTGACAATCGATCCCCGAATCGGCGCTCTAACTCCACCAGCAGAGGTGGTAGTAAGCGCCGCCGACAAAAAGCCGCAGAAGTCGATTTTGCCGCCGTCCTCACAACGGGGTAAGTCGGCTGCGATACGTCGAATTCAGCTACGCTATTCACGTAGCTGAATTTGCGTATCTTAAATCGACTCCCCCCTGTAGTGTAGATGTACCCTGAGATGGTTATGAGTGGTTGGGTGAGGTAACTAGAGGAGATAGAAGAAATAACATCAGTTCCTTTAATTGAGGAAGTGGTTCTGTCATTGGGGGTTGTAATTTAGATGTGATTCTGTCCCTCCAGCTATTGTTGAATGATCATATTACAGAAGTAAACTTGTCAGTTTTCTGCTGTCTGTATCTAGCCAGGAGTTTGCAGCCTCCTATGTCATATGTGGATCTTGCTACTAGTATCAAACTCTTGTCATGATTAGATTATTGCAATGTGCTCTACATTGGACCACTTATTATAATCAGGGCAACTGAAATAGTGCAGGAAGCAGCAATTCATTTATTGAGTGGGGCATCTCGCTGGGTGTATGTACCATTAGTATTCTGGGATCTGCACTGGGTGCATATTGGTCTCCAAATGGAGTTTAAGTAGTTGGTTATGACTTGGAAAGCATTAAATAACCTAGGAAGTGCCTACTGGGAGAGTACACTTCTCTTCCTGTGACACATTGTCCCAGCTGTGGACACTGGAGATGCTCAAACTAAATCCCCTTTCAGAGATGGAGCTGCTGGGAGTCCACATGGGAGTTCCAGGACTCACCAGTGCCACCACCGTCTTGATCCAAAATAGCCCATATTTGGGGAACCTCTAGAAATTCTGAAAGACCCATCCATTTGACAGGGTTCTGGGAGAGGGTTGGGTGAGAAGGAGCCTTTTGTTGTTTTTTGGCTAACTGCTCAAGTAAAGTTGGTCCTCTGTGAATGTTTGTTTTTTAATGCTGCTGGGAGTATTATATTGATAATTGAATTGACAGGGTGCCTAGATCATTTGGATAGGTTTGTTTTTATTTTTAAATATAAAAAGATAAAATAAATAAAACAACTTACAATTTAAACTCCCGAACCTTCTAAAGGATCTTCCCACTTGGACCATCAGGTCTGAGTGGAGTCCCATACATTTTACTAAGGCTCTATGCAGGCAGATTCATTAGAAGGATCAGGCTCTAGATAGTCAATATTTAGGGAAAGGATGAGAAATAAGATGCAAGAAAATGTGAGGTAACTGAGTGGTGAACTTCAGCATGAGTCATGTTACTTTAAAGATTTTATTTTTAAACATCCTGTAGATTTAAATTTGTGGAGTAAGGGTTTTTTATTCCTTTGTTCCTTTTATATGTACTATATTTTATTGGCCACACCTCCCAACTATTTCTTTAATATTGACGTTCTCCTTCTTCCACATTCTGGTTCGCACTTTCCATAAACACCATTATTCTGTGAAATACAAATACCACTAAATATCCACAAAAATCAGCAGTTGCATCAAATAACTTGAAGTTGGTGTCATGGGAAATGGATAATTGGACCTACAACCTGGACTGGTGAGGTATAAATCTTTCATGCCAAGAGTAGAGTACGCTGAAATGTTTTAGAACTTGGCCTAGTTGTAGAGTGTCATTGAAGTTCTGCTCAGGATAAACTGCTACTTCAATTTGGGCACGTGCCTCAATCCAGTAATCGCATTGTTAATTCCTACATTGTTCGAGTTTATCAGCAGTCCATCAAATTGATAAGTCTGTGCCAAGCTGAACAAGTTTTATTGAAAACATCTGACATAATGGGGAGAGAGAAGAGTCCATTTGTACTGTATCATGCAATAAAAATGCATTAAGTGCAAAATTGTATCCTTTGATAAGAGTAAGAAGAATAATTCTGTCCCAAATGGAAATAGAACCATATTTTTTCTTTTAAAGTATGAAATCTGTAAGAAGATTAATATATGCTTGCAAATGTCTTAGTAGAAATCTGTGTTCTTTTAACAAAGTGCAACACAATTAATATTCTATTTAAAATAGGATGATAGTAAATGTTATATCAACAATATATGAATACATGTGAACAAATCAATTGTTATAATTAAATATTGGAGGCTGTTATACCATGGTTTTATAAGGATTATATTTAAAGAGGACTTCTTGGATAAAAAGGGGAGAACTAGAAAAAAGAATCTGCTGGCCCCATTAGCCACCATATAGCCTGACAGATATCTGATCTGTATCTGCTCCTATTAATGTCTAGAAACAGAATTCTTGATTTCAGGCATATGTTCTACTAACATTCTTCTACAAAATGAAGTATCAAACTGCTACTATATGAGATATTATAAAGAAGTTGAGGCTGTTCCAGCATAAGCCTGATAGTCACATCCCTTGCAACTTTGACTAGAATTGTTCTTCAGGCTTCATTTTTTGAGCTTACTCTCAAACTACAGTAGAGCTCTTTATAATTTAAAACAAGGAAGTAATCCAATTGTTTATAGTCATAGGATTTTAAAATTACACTTTCTTGATGTTTTGACCAATTTGTGTCTCTGTTACTTAAAAGTATTGTTTTATTATATTTTATATATGTATATGCATAAAATATAGAGGTTTTACATTTTTTTAATACAAAATAATGTTATTTGCATGCTTTGACATGGATTTAGCTTTCATAACAGATGCCAGTGCATAAAATATATTCTTTGACAAATCTGTCATGTCAAGTATTAACATACTAGAGAAAATCTAGCCAAGTAGCAAAATGATTCTATTAACATTTTTAAACATCAGTACTTGTTCTTTGTCCCTGCTGCTTCGTTCTCCATCACAGACATTAATGGCTAACATTTTAGCTGTCAAAATTCTGGCAGAGTGGGCACAGGGGAGTTAAATGATGCAAGAAGCCTCTTCTTATTAGCTTTTGCCTCCAGTACAGAGGCTGGGCACATTGAGAGTCCTTGTGTTCAGAAAGTCCAAAGCTCAGGGTGCACAGTGCTTTGCAAGTTTGGGCACTAAGAAATCAAACCCAGTCAATTCAATGTCTGAATGTTTTGTCTGTTCAATAGTTTGTTGCTGAGTCAGTATTGTTATCTGTGATGGCCATATTGTCAGAGATTTCTAGTTACGAAATAATTCTTTTTTTTTTCCAGTGTGACAATGCAAAAGGACTTAAAGCCTTCTATGATGCAATAAAATATGGACCTAATCATCTGATGGTTTTTGGTGGAGTATGTGCAACAGTCACTTCTATCATTGCTGAATCCCTAAAAGGATGGAATTTGGTTCAGGTAAGTCATGACATATAATATATTGACTAGTGACTGTCTTCAAATTCTTTAAAGAAATTTTTGGAAAATTAATAACTGTCAAAAGTTTTGATGAATGCTTTGCAAAATGTTAAATGTGAATAACTATACAATAACTTTGAAGGTCAATGAGGTTATATATAAAAAGGACAATAATTTCAAATACTAATTTGAAACTTTAACTTAACACTTTCAGGGATTGGCATGTTGAGGCTTCAAAAATATATTAAAGCTGTTCAGAACATTTGTGATTAGAAATTAAAAATATTTGGTTTACCTGGTTTGCCTTGGCAGATAGTTATTTACATTTTATGTGATATATGCCTGAAATTGTAAGATTAATGAAATACAGTATAGAGAGATCATTCAAGGAACTTGGTGTGCTAATCCAGTGCCTGATCTAAAGCCCAATAAAGTGAATAGAAAGACTCCCTTTCATAGAATCATAGAATCATAGAATATCAGGGTTGGAAGGGACCTCAGGAGGTCATCTAGTCCAACCCCCTGCTCAAAGCAGGACCAATCCCCAACTAAATCACCCCAGCCAGGGCTTTGTCAAGCCTGACCTTAAAAACCTCTAAGGAAGGAGATTCCACCACCTCCCTAGGTAACCCATTCCAGTGCTTCACCACCCTCCTAGTGAAAAAGTTTTTCCTAATATCCAACCTAAACCTCCCCCACTGCAACTTGACCATTACTCCATGTTCTGTCATCTGCCACCACTGAGAACAGTCTAGATCCATCCTCTTTGGAACCCCTTTTCAGGTAATTGAAAGCAGCTATCAAATCCCCCCTCATTCTTCTCTTCTGCAGACTAATCAATCCCAGTTCCCTCAGCCTCTCCTCATAAGTCATGTGCCCCAGCCCTTTAATCATTTTGTTGCCCTTCACTGGACTCTTTCCCATTTTTCCACATCCTTCTTGTAGTGTGGGGCCCAAAACTGGACACAGTACTCCAGATAAGGCCTCACCAATACCGAACAAAGGGGAATGTCCCTCGATCTGCTGGCAATGCCCCTACTGATACAGCCTAAAATGCCATTAGCCTTCTTGGCAACAAGGGCACACTGTTGACTCATAGCCAGCTTCTCATCCACTGTAACCCCTAGGTCCTTTTCTGCAGAATGGTCTCTAGTCTGTATCAGTGCATGGGATTCTTCCATCCTAAGTGCAGGACTCTGCACTTGTCCTTGTTGAATCTCATTAGATTTCTTTTAGCCCAATCCTCAAATTTGTCTAGGTCCCTCTGTATCCTATCCCTGCCCTCCAGCGTATCTACCACTCCTCCCAGTTTAGTGTCATCTGCAAACTTGCTGAGGGTGCAGTCCACGCCATCCTCCAGATCATTAATGACTTCAGTAGGCTTTGACTTTGACTTCAGTAGGCTTTGAATCAACATATCCTGAGGTCTTCACTCATTTTTTTTCTTAATCATTATTCAAGCAAACTCACTCTGACTTAAAAAGAAATTGAAATGAATAATGTTTTAGTAAAAACTAAATAAGGACCTCAGTATTTGGCCCGTACATCACATCTATTCCCAGCTGTTCCCTTCTCTGTCATTCTCAAAGGTCCCACTGTGTGGGAATTTCCCCCAGCCTGCAGAATCATAGAATTTATTAATATCGATCTTTAAAACAGTCATCCAGATAGGACCAATAAAGAGCAGCATGAGATGCCTGAAGCATGATATGCCTCAAGGCCTAATGAGGAAATCCTTGTCTTCTGGCTCAGAATCTCCAGATTTACAGTGGACCATACAAACTAGCCACCCAACCTGGGGATGTCATTTGGGATCCTCCCTGGCCTATCCTTCAAACGTGAATGATTTGGAACTGGCTGCGGGAAGGCTTCTGAGCTCTACATACTGTGTATATGACCAGTGTATAACCAATAAGCTAGCAGTGATGGGAAAAGCTCAAAGAGGTCATTTTTAAGTTTGGTTTGGAAGTGGATAAATGACTGAATAGATGGGTAGGTTTATTTGATGGATAAAATATGCTTTTCATACTGTCCCAAGGGAAGTGTACAAAAATTGCATGTTATAAATGTATAACAATTACTTAAGTTCTGTAAGTATATTTTTTTACATGGGACCCTTACCTAATTCAGTGCACAGGATGGAGACACAAGGGGGCAGAATTAAGGTAGTGAAGGGGACATGCTGGAGTAGTGGGGGTGAAGGTGCAGAGAAGGGAGACTTAGCTGGCTAGCTAAGGTAGTTCACTAGTGAAGGGATAACACTCATTTCATATTAATCAGCGTGAGGCAGCACTATGAAGCTTCAAGGGCAAACTTTACCCCAACTAAATGCACTCAACTGGTGGCCTCTGGTATCCTCTCTGTTTCTTCCCTGTAACTCTTCAGAGTTGAGAGTTGTTATTTCACTTGAGTTGTCCTACCAGTATTTGTCAAGAATTTTATCCCTCCCCACAAGTCATTCAGTTTCCCTTTAAATGTCCCCTAAACACTTTCATTTTCTCTGTATTTTAAGAGTGACTCTTTGCAGAGGATTTTCTGATACTTTTTTTATGAAGGATCTTTCATAGAAACCCCAAAAAAGTATTGCTGTCAAGAGAAGATTTTATTTTTATTCCTGCACTATACTTTGGCTGGAGTTTTGTTATTCTAAGCTTAGGTAGCTTGTAAGATGTGGAAAAGGTCTCTTCCACCATGAAAATATCAAGGTATCCTGGGGGAAGAGGGCATAGCAGTGGAAAATGTGATATTTTCATTGACTAAATGATGAAAGAACATAAATGAGAGCAGGGTTGGGGATTTCATGAAGTGTAATGGGTGGTGCAGCAGTAATGAATACAACTTTAGATATGGCTTGCAAAAAAGTAATAATGTTTGCTAGACTGTACTGCCATACAGTAGGTATTATTTGTGAATAAGTCTGATGGGTACATAAGCACAAATCCTTCTGTTCACAAGGTTGCAATTTATTTAATTAGTATCCTTGATTTAAAACTTATCAGTAACAACAATTATGCAGATCTTGGCAAATGAAGCAATAAATAGCATACAGCATCCCTGAAGACTCAAAACTACCGTCCACCAAAAACTTCAGAGGTTCAACTTAAAGGTGTGACAATGGACACTTATACAGAATCATAGAAAGTAATGTAGATGATGTAATAGTAGAAATTTAGATGAAGCCAAGAAGAGGAATAGGAGGGAAAACAATTTCTATAGATATAACTATTGGCAGTAGGCAGACCTGGCATTACACTGCAAGGAAAAGAATCTGAATTTGGCTCCCTAACCCCCATCACTCTTTTCCTGTGAAAACCACAGAGGCAGCATATTTAGCCCACAGTATATACTGATTTGATTTACACTGACCCCCTCTGGCTGGCTGAAGTGATGTCTTTTCTCCATAAAAGAGATGCTTCAGTGCAGGGCACTCCTGAAGGAGTGGGTGGAGTAGAGAAGAAGAAAATAGAGAGCAGAGGAGCAGAGTAGTTGCTTAAACATCCTTCCATTTGTTATCAAAGATAGGGATAGCTTTCCTGCTCATAGCTTGATATTTTCCCCAAAGCTTTCAAGACCAAGTGAAAAATACTTGTGCCACCATGCTTCCAAAGCTGTCCCTCTCTTCCCCTCTCCCAAAACATCCCCCTGCAATATAAGGGAATAAAATAGTCACATGATGTTTATTATTTATTGAGTTGCAGCATTATTAATGAACTTTCTAAATAATGAACTTAACAAAATGGATTGTACCCTGCCTTCTGTGAATTTATTATTCATTCTTCTTTCAACATCCTGACTTTTTCACTCCACTCTTTCTTTCTTATTTTAGGTCATATTTTTCATACCGTTTTGAAATTGTTGTTGCGTTTTTTCTTCTTAAGAAGGCAGACTTTAGCAAAGTCAGGGAGTTGGTAGGTAAAATCCCTTGGGAAGCAATTCGAAGGGGAAAAACAGTTCAAGAGAGTTGGCAGAAACATTAAGGGCACAAGAGCAAACAATCCCACTGCCTAGGAAAGATAGGAAGTATGGCAAGAGACCACTCTGGCTTAACCAGGAGATCTTCAATGATCTGAAACTCAAACAAGAGTCCTACAAAAAGTGGAAACTAGGTCAAATTGCTCTCTTTAACCTCTGAGGATAGGACCAAAAGCAATGGGTGTCAATTGCAACAAGGATGGTTTAGGTTGGACATTAGGAAAAAATTCCTAACCGTCGCGGTGTTTAAGCACTGGAATAAATTGCCTAGGGAGGTTGTGAAATCTCTGTCACTGGAGATTTTTAAAAGCAAGTGAGACAAATATCTGTCAGGGATGGTCTAGATAATACATAGTCCTGCCTTGAGTTTGGGGGCCTGGACTACAAGACACTCAAGGTCCCTTCCAGTCCTACGATTCTCTGATTCTCCCTCCCTCTGTCCCTTTATGTCCTTTCCTTTCTTACTATTCATTATGTTCTGTTCTTCTTTTCCCCTTACTTGCTGGCTCATCTCCTTCCCCAACCCATGATCTCTCTTTCTCTCTCTTACTATCTTTTTAAAAATTATCCCCACAAACATCCAGTGAGATATCCATTTTAGATAGTGCCTTTTACAAACCTCAAAATATGCAGCAGAATTACAAACTACATAATAATAATTTCACCCACCACCAAAATGCAGCCACATCTTTGTAGAACACTGCAAAAGGCATATATTTCATAGATAAATTGAGAGGAAAACAACAATAAAAATACATTGGAAAATATTATGTTGCAGTTGCATTTTATCCATTATTTAAAAGGACTTGAATTTTTGCACAATGACTGAAAATTCTATTGTGCTCATTCCTGACCACTTAAAAAGATGACAACTTCCTGGGCTTCTGCCTCACAACTCATGTGGGTTTACAAATGGCCTTCAACAACTGAAATGGGAGGGAAGACTGCTAAAGCCCTGGTAGATAAAGTCTCAGGACGACTGACTTTTTTGTCTTAAAGCTATTTAATCATTCATATGCTGTAGCTGT